GAGAGAGAGAGAGAGAGAGAGAGAGAGAGACGGGGGACGGAATGCTGATGTACCACATGACTAACTTGTTCTCGAAGTTTTTTTTATATCTTAATTTTATACAATTTTCAAGCCGTCGGGTTTTAGCTGAGTTAATAATGTGATATCTCTATCGTCGGGTTTGGGGAATTGGTAGAGCGGTTGTATCTAGACTAACTTAGTACCAAGATAGCCTCGGGGTGTATACATTTCGGGTTAAACCTCCCGTTAACACGTCAAATTACATGTATTATTAACTTTATTTCAGAAGGGAGTTCGTTCCTTCAAGAATCAACAAAAAAGAGCGAAGTCTTGTGCAAAGTGAGACAACAATTTGACAAGTGTTCAGGAAAAAAACCAAGACAGACAGACAGACAAACAGACAGACACACAGGAACAAGAAGGAGAAAAGAAAAGAAATAGAACCTACCAGTGGCACACTCCAACCGCCCGCAATGTGATTACAGTAGGATTCGCCAAAACGATATTTCTTTTCTAAGCACAAGGCCAGGCTGTGCTCATGCTGTGGTGCTTTCCAAGAAAACTTCACGGAACTGCGTATAGTCGGTATAGTTAAGTTTTAGTAGATGTTTTACGGTGCTCGCAACTGAATACGGTCATGTGAGCGTCAGAAGATTAGAGGTGTTGCACGAGAGTAGCAAACATAAAAAAGAAGGAGGGGAGATAAAGACGTTAGAAGTTTGACAGGAAAGAAGAAGCAAACCACACCAGAGCACCCGCCAACCACCCACACGGAACTGCGTATAGGGAAACAATCAAACCTGCTCAAACGACCACCTGCCCAAGACAGTCATCAGTATAAACGGCCACTTCCCATTTACCTGTTTTTCGTTTCCGTAAGAGTATCACGTCACTTGCAACACAATCAGGTCACATAAATGCCAAAGATTAAAGGTATAACAAGGGCCGGAGTAACAAACACACACACACAAAAGGAGGAGAGATAAGGACGATTGATGTTTGATAGGAAAGAAGAAGGAGCAAACCACATCAGAGTACCCTCCAACCACTCAACCCATCTCTCCCCCCCCCTTTTTTTTCTATAATACTATGATGACACAACTCCAGAGGACAACCTGTCTAAGAGACTACTTTTCTCTCCAACAGTGAGTGTCCGTCTTGCACAGGTCCAACTGTAAAAAAATGTCTTATGCCCCGCGAGGTACATAGTACTTTAGCCAGTTTGGCTAATATAGTATTAGTTTAAAACACTGAGCAAGGTTTCAAAATTTGGGCGCCAAATCGCTTCGACTGATTGGTCGGCTGGGGCTACTGTTTGAGCAGTGTTTTTGTTTCAGGAGGGGGGGCATCCATCCATGTGTAAACGCCTGGGATTAGCGCGGCGATTTCGGGAAGGTTCATAAGGGCATCTTTGTTCAATAGGGTATGATGTCGGTATTTCAACACATTTGTGCAATAGCGTATGTCGACATTTCGTCAGCCTTTTACTCCCCATTACCTCTGAGAGAACCCCTCC